AATTGCAGGCATACGTGTCAATCTTGAGAAATCAAAAGTCGTTTGCATTATCTTCAACGTGTGAAAAAAAAAACTGTAACTCGTCAGCGAATATTAAAAATATACACGCTAATTTAGCCTCGATTTGAAATATGCATACACGCAAATAGAAGCTTCACAAATGAACTAAACACATGATGAAAAATAACTATTTTTTCTATGTAGAATGACGCCTGGAATTGTACGAATTCGAGCTTGAAATTCAAATATTCCTACGAGTTTCAACGTGTTCCAACGCGTTCCAGCGCAAAATTTTTTCTTTGAACCTGCGCCTATAATTTTGTTACCTGTGTGAAAACCTAGATTTTCTGTCTGAATGAGAATAAGAGCCAAGATTTTTCCAATTGGCCTTTACTTTTCAGTTACTTAAAATAAATATCAGTAACTGTTGTTCTATCTATTGATAAAGTTTATCTACAAGTTAAATTGTTATTGCCAAGAGGTAATTTTACTCGGTATTCTAACCACCGGGTAAGGATTATTGATATTTATTTTAAGTAATTGAGGTAAAGTCTACCAAGTTGGAAAAACCGGCCCTAAAGGGGATTCATTTTCGTTCTCTTCGTGAAAGTTCGCTGAATTGAGGCGGAAAAAAGGAGCTATCAAAATTTTTTGTAAAAAATGCGACAGTAAAAACTACGTGACGCATTTGCTAAGATTTCTCACTCATTGTGATAGTTTCTCTGTTCGCATTATTACAGCAAACGCGGATCCTCTCGCAAAAAAATCCGTGGAATAGTACGCGTACATAGCACGATCGACAAGCTGCCACGTGGATGGAAATCGATTTAACAGTAATTGCCGGGCATCGTTATCCGACGTGTTGCGCCGTTATCCTCGTAATCGACGAGCGTTGACACGACAGAAAGAATTCATCGAATCATGTGGCTCGCCCTCAATAAAATGCTTAAATTTCTTATGTTTTTCTTCTGAATAGTCTCGAAAAAATTGTTGTCACTTTATCCGCAATTGAATTTATCACGTAAGATCGCACATGCAACATTATAAATTTGATAAGTATATTAGTATGTTAGAAACGCAAGTATAACAATAATTTTATATGTTTAGGCTACGGCTTGTGCCGTTGCGTTGGACGCATATTTTCTTCTGGTTTGTGCCGAATAATTTGACACTAAATTCTCGAAATTATGACGGGTAAAATACATATCCTTTATTCGGAAGAACATAACGTAATACAAGAGCGAGATTTCCGTAAGAGAGAGAGATAACTATCAAAGCAGGCGCTAGAAGCGCTTAGGCACGTAAGAAAAAAAAATTTTGAAAAGAAAAACACAAATGCACGTACACAAAAGAACACGCATAGCGTGTACATTATATAATATTCATAATACATAATAAATAAGCAACAGAAACGGTAATTAATAAAAATTAAAATTTATCAAAGTTTAAATATTTTTTTTAATTATGCACTCTTATTTTCGTCAATAGTAATATAAAATATAATTCTAGAGCATGTCGAGCCGTCGCAGATGTTGGTGCAGTTTATTATTTTTCATATAGAAAATAATTCGTCTACATTGAGATGTTAAATTATACACCGATCTCAGATTGAGATACTTAAAGTGTGCGAAAATTAAATACATTAATCTTTATTTGGAGAATCAGAATAGGAAATAGGAAAATACGAATAGGAAATTATTGAAAGGAAGAAAGAAGAACGACAGAAAAATATCAGGACGCAAGCGACTTGAAGCGAAGCCGACTTGAAGGGGTCCTGTTTGCTTGCCGACTGTTCTCTTTTCACTAACAATAAGAATAGTAATATAATTTTTTTAATATACAGAATAATCATTGGAAAGGTGCCTAAAGTAAATTACTATTATTTTACAACGAATGAACAGAATGAAATTAATTAAACGTTATTTTCTAGAGAAAAACCCCAAAAAAATTTATTCCATATATTATGAAAGAAGTATACAATAATTAATTAATTAAAATAAATATAATGAAAAATGCTACAAATTTATCTGGACGCTCCGATGAAGTGATAAATATTTTCAAAGAAAATCCAAGAAAGTCCATCAGAAAATACTGATAAACTGAAACAGAGTATTCGAAAGTGCATTCAGGATATTTTTCCAATAGCTCCTTTTCCCAAGTTAAAAAGTGAATTTAATAGCCTTCAAAAACTTTTCTGTGCCGATTCCGATAGACAACACATTGACAATATTTATTACTAAGCGCCTAGACATGTTTGTAGCATTATTTTTGTAATATTTATTTTAATTATTTAATTATTATATATTTTTGTCATATTATATATAATAAAATTGACGGATTTCCTCTACAAAATGATGTTTAGTTCATTTTGTTTAGTCCATATTTTGTCCGGTAAAAAAAATTAGAGCAATTTACTTGAAATATCTTTCCAATAATATCCTGTAATATCGATCTCGAATTGAAGAGACGCATATAAATCTCACTAGAATCCCACTGTGCACAAAAAAATAGAAATTTGGAAAGTCACTATTCGTCACATCTAAATCACCTGATGGCTTTTCTATTGCTCATGGCTTGCGATTGGTAGTTTCGAATATTTTTCTGTTGAGTGTGGACGAATAGAAAAGAAAAAAATTTGAGGAATCTTCGTCAAAAGACTCGAATTTTCCAATTACGAACCGTTAATCGCAACTGCTTTGTCGATGCTTACATAGGCTTATTCGAAAAATATATGTATTGTGATATCGCTATCTATTTTGAACCAAGTTCGATGAACTGAAAACGAACCTATCCAAGAGGCTATTAAAATTTCTTGTAAAAAACGCGACAGCAAATGCTCCGTGACGCATTATTTGCCAAGATTTCTCACTCATCGGATAGTTTTTCTGTTCGTATTATTACAGCAAACGCGGATCCTCCCACAAAAAGTCCCGTGGTGTAGCCGCGAACTGTGGTGCCAACAAATGAACGCGCTACGTCCCAATGTATACCAATTCGTGAGTTGATCTATGCAAACAGACTCGCGAAAGGTCCTACAGGATCGTAGCCAGGGGGATGCCCGGCATTCTCTGACAATTTTTGGGCACCCTTTGAGCAGAATAAAAAAAATTAAAGAATACTAATAATAAATAATAATAAATAATAATAATAAATAATAATAATTATTTTAACTAATAATTATTTTAAACATTCGCCCGGCAAGCGAAAGACCCGGGTTCAATTCCCGGCTTAGCCACTCGCGCCCTGATATTTTTTCTCTCTTCCTTTCTTTACAATAATTCCTATACGTACATTAAAGTTTCTCGATATATGAGAACTATGTACTTTAAAATTTTCGTACACTTTAAGTATCTCGAATTGAGATCGGTGTACAATTTAACTGTCTCTTGTAGACTAATTTACTAATTTCTTTAAGAAAAATTAAAAATTTAGCACGAACATCCTGCAACGGCTCTTATCGCCATTTTCATTATTTATCGTTTGTTAAAACATTTGGAGCCTTCCATTATATGTGGTTTAAAGTTTTAATAATTATTTTGTCGGAGGGAAACATATAATTGGGAACCAGAGTGGCATTCAATAATACCTATAACTATTTAGCAGCATGTAGAACGTTTGCATGTAACACTGTGTTGTGTGAATCTACATTTTCGATTTTAAGTAGAATTAACTGATCGCAAAGAATTTCTATGACCCACCAAAGAATGGCTAATCTCATATTTTTAGCCTTTGAAAAAGAGAAAACTAAAAATATAAATATGGACATTTTTTTAAAAGAATTTTATAATGCCAAAGAAAGAAGACTGCAGCTCTTCTAATTCAATTATTATTTTTTTTAAATGTTTATATAAAGAAAGGCATAGAGAGCCGTCGCGGAATGTTAGTGCGAAATTATAATTTTTCTTAAGAACATTCGCCCGGCAAGCGGAAGACCCGGGTTCAATTCCCGGCTTAGCCACTCGCACCCTGATATTTTCCTCTCTTCCCTTCTTTCTAATAATTCCTATCAGTACATACTGATTCTCCATATGTGAGAACAATGTACTAAAATTTTCGTACATTTTAAGTATCTCGAACCAGAGATCGGTGTACAAATTTAACTGTCTCACGTAGACTAACAAATTAATTTCTTTAAGAAAAATTATAATTTCGCACTAACATCCCGCGACGGCTCTCTATGCCTTTCTGTTATATTAATTGATTGTTATCATTTGAGCCTTTCCTTTATATGTGTTAGATTGTTTTATATAAAGAGTTATTATTTTATTTTTCATTTTATTTGTACGCATAAATGCATAAAGAATGACATGTTTTTTTGTTTTCCATAGATATAATACCTATACATTGTTATTTTGTTTTTGTAATTCTTATATTAATATATCTCATTTATTTGTATTTTATATGAAAATATTATTTTCTTCATTATCTCATTATCACGTTTTAATCCTGTTTAGTTTTTTAAAAAGACTTTAAATTGATACCTTAAAATGTTATTTAGGTTAAATTAGAAAAAAATTTTTACCTAAGGCGCCAACTGGGGGATAAATCATTGCAAGCACTTTTTATTTTTCCTCAGAAAACCCCTCACAAAATTCTAGTTACGACCCCAAGTATCTATGCCTGGTCACAAGTCAACTGAATTGTAGGATAACATGGGCTTCGATAAAACGCAGCTTTTGACAGAAGATATATTTTCCCGTACATATCTATCTTATTGAAAATTGATTCCACCGAAACTATTGCCGTTTCAGTTTTCCGAGTTTAATGCGCTATGCTAGCAGAACTAATGCGAAGCGAATATCGACGTTTCTATCATCGTGAAACTCGAAATGAACAAATCTATTCGGTCAATCGTAATCGCCAATCTAATATAACTGTCATCATCATCCAAATATGACGAGTTAGTCGTCATATCGCGTGTCATATTGCGTGAAAATCGATACTTTGACTCATTCCGAAAACCATTAATAAAAAGTGCGTCTGTTTTTTTTATGTTTCAGAGAATAAACTGCTAGAGAGGGGATACAGGAAAGTTGGTGGGCTTTTCTGGAAGTCTTTTTAAAAACCCTAGAATATACAAGAACCGCTTCAGTTCATCTTTGTGCGTGTAAGAGTGCAGAAGGGCAAATTTCTTCCCATTAAACCAGAACGAAAATTTATTCAGTAAGTAAGAAAATGATATATTGGCGGTTGCCAAGATTTCTAACAATAAGATGTATCAATTTTATGCAGAAATATATCAAAATAAAAGAAACTCGAAATAAACTTTGAATATATTCGCTAATCGTTATCGCCAATCTACATTGGCCAATATAATTATCGCAACAGTAAATTTATATCAAAATTTCGCATAACTATAAATAATCGTAACTCCGTCAAAAATTGTCGGTATTTGTTCGGTATTGCTCGGTATTTGAAAAATTTTTTTTTTTTTTTTGAAGCTTAAAGTCTCTATTTTAAAAAGCATTTGTCAGATTTTGAATTTATTCTTTCCCCCTCCCGCTGTTTCTTCAAAAGTAAAAACGTGTTACGTCTCCAAAAAATTGCATAGGCTGACTTACTCCACGGGGTGGAATAAATTTTTTTTCGCGAATGTCACTATAACCATCGTAAAATTTGGACTTTTCCTTGCAAATTAAACAAAAAAGAGGTTTGTACGATTTTTTTTCGCGGAGCTACAGTGTATCAAAGTTACCTATACATTTGTTCAGTTACCGCCAGCATTGGCATCTCTCGATACGTACCATGGGGACGGAGCTGGTCGAATTTTGTGCATCGTGTGTGTGTGTGTCTTTTGGACAGGAGAAATGTGAATACACTTAAAACCACGTATTCTCGCTTCGTGGCGGGATGATTTCTTGGAGACGCTTACGCATATTGATGCAGAGTGTAATTGTGAAAATTCGTGCCTTATCTGCTGTAGTGCTGCTTCCAGTTACTGAAGATTGGTTGGCTCTCTCCAAATCTCATAGCCTTCTTCCCATCATAGCCCCATAAATGTTTCATGTGATTCAAATCCGGACTCACTGGATGTGGTAGCACCTCGATGCTGTTTTCTTCAAGGAAGTTTAATGGCAATCCTGCAGTGTGTGAATGGAACGTTGTCGTGCATGAGGATAAAATTGCGCCCCACTTGACGACTCATCGGTATTACGTGAAGTCGCAAAACTTCCTCCACGTAGCGTTCCGCTGTTATTCCAGGAGGTGGTGACCAGATTCGGGCGTCCATGCGTCGATATTCCACCCCGTACCATGTTGGAACCACCGCCAAACGCATCATTCCTCAGGTCACAACTAGATCCTGCATCAATATGCGTGAGCATCTACAAGAAATCATCCCGCCACGAGACGGGAATGAAATACGTGGTTTTAAGTGCGAATGTACTCACATTTATCCTGTCCAAAACATACATACCCGATGCGCTAAGTTCAGCACCCTTTCCGTGGTGCATATCGAGTAATACCAATGCTGGTGGTAACTGAACAAAAGTGCATAGGTAACTTTGATACGCTGTAACTCCGCAAAAAAAAATCGTACAAACCTCTTTTTTGTTTAATTTGCAAGGAAAAGTCCAAATTTTTGATGGTATAGTGACATTTGCGAAAAAAATTTATTCCGACCCGTGGAGTAAGTCAGCCTATGCAATTTTTTGGAGACGTAACACGTCTTTACTTTTGAAGAAACAGCGGGAGAGGGAAAGAATAAATTCAAAATCTGACAAATGCTTTTTAAAATAGAGACTTTAAGCTTCAAAATGAAAAAAAAATTTTTCAAATACAACAATTTTTGACGGAGTTACGATTATTTGAAGTTATGCAAAATTTTGATATAAATTTACTGTTGCGATAATTTTGATTCCCAGCGTAGTATAACATATAACGTATCTAGTATAACGTATAACGCTAACTGTTATTATTAGTATTAATAATTTTAATTAGTGAAAGCAAAGTATTTGTAAAAAAGCAAGTCTTTCTATAAAAGCACTCAAATATTACAGAAACTATAGATGAACACTTTTAGAGAACTTTCATTTGTAAAACATATCTTATTTTAAATGAAGTAAAATTGATATAAATTGAATAAAAATTGAATGTCGAAGACTATAAGTTTTTGCTATATTTTCTAAAAATATGCACTTCTATTCGCGCTTTTTACGTTAACTGAGTGCAAAGACTTTTACTTGCAGCAGAATATTAGCAACGATACGTAAAATAATACGCTCTTAAATATAAACATTCTATCAGAATGAAGAAAAAACGATAGCGCGATAAGCGCTATGGACATTCACGCATGGACATTCTATCCGATTTGCGGCGGGAATTCCTTTCCCTTCCTTCAGTGATGGTAAACTTCCGTCCAGTCTGATATCGGTGTGACAATGACTAGTTAAACTGTATCTGCGTGAATTTACATAAAACATTCAAATTGGTTCTCATATATTATATTTGTTCCGATTAATTATTTTAACAAATATTAATAATAATACTAAGGCTTTACTAAATTAACAATTAATATTAGCAGAAAAAGGCGAAAAGAGCCGTTGCTAATTGTTCGTACATATTATATCATAAAATTATAAGAACAAACGTTTTTGCCTATATTAGGCCTTCATCAGTGTCATTACAAATAAAATATAATAAACGGTTTCACAAGTGTCGATGCGCTTTACAAACAAATAAAACGATTTATAAAAGAAAAGTCAATCTTGGGCCTTAATAATAAAAAATTATTAAAATGTAAATTAGCTATGTTGACCCAGAGCCAGGTGTTAGATGCTCAAAAAATAATAATTAACTAAGTTATATGTTCAAACGTTTCGGCACATTTATTTCGGCCATCTTCAGTGATAATATAAAGTAAACAATCGTTATAGCGGAAACATGAAATAATAAAAACAAATATGTTCCGCAAAGCTAACGCATATCGGTTGGAAAATTTGAACGCTCATTATAATATAAAATAAAAATATAAAATAAAATAAATAGTAATAAATTAAAACTGCAACGCAACGTCGTCGTATAAGAAATGCAGGTTAAGAGATCTTACTTGAATGTCCATGTTATAATAAAAAGTTGAAGTAAAAGTGTCTCCAAATTCGAGCAATATATAAATCAAGGTGTCCTAGTATACGATATGCACAGCAACGCTCGAAAGACATTCTTCTTTTCGCTTTCCATTCCTTATGCTTAACAGAATGCAAAAAATGAAAAGTCGACGAATGATCGGTCAATCTTCAACCACAAAAACAGTTGAATATAAGAAAGTCCAAATGTTAAAACGTCTAATAAAATGTTATGGTGTAAATAAAACAATATATGCAAGATGTTCTTGATGAGAAGTAATACGTAAGATATTCTTGATGAGAAGTAATTTCAACGAAAAATTCTTTTCCTTATTGCACGATTGTTAATTGGTATGGTTTTAAGCCAAAACTGTGTATCCAATAAAGAACCATGGAAGAGTCAGAGATCAAAATTATTCAACAAAATGCCTTCATAATGCGTGGAGAGGTTCTGACAATTCGTAGAGTCTATAATTAAAACTGAAGATATAATTAAACTAAATCGGATAGTTAAAATGCAATTATCAAAATATATCACCGTTGTGAAACCGTTTATTATGATAATTTATTTGTAACGATACTGATGAAGGCCTAACATAGGCAGAAACATTTGTCCTTGTAATTTTATGATATAATATATTGCACGAACAACTACACGGAAAAAAAGGTAGTGTCAAATCAAAGCTTATATACTCAAATTAACGCGTTCATTGTTTCGTATATATGCAACAATTTATAATCTTCCGATAAGAATTTAATAATCTTAAATTTTAACAATATTATAGTCTTATTTCCATTTTATAATAATCACTTGAAGAAGACAATATAATTATTTTGACAATAAAATATCTTCCTTTTGTTTGAAAAATATGTTATTTTCTATCCAACATTTTTTCTTTTCCACTGAAGAAAATTATTCTTAAATAATAAGAATATTATTCTTAAATAATAAGAATATTTTTTTCTTGGTTGAACTATATAAAATGACTTTATTCAAGCCAGTTTTCTTCGTTTAAAGCAATATAATCTCATTTCAAGATTTTCATGTTAAAAATAAAGATATTTTTAAAATAACAATATCTTTTTTTTCCGTGTAGTAACGACTTTTTCCGCCTTTTTCTCCTAATATTAATTGTTAATTATTTTAATATAATTTTCTGAATTTTCTCATGTTTAATAACTCGTCGAAATAAATTTTAATTTTGAACAAGAAATTAAAATTCGATTCTTAAGCCGATTCTGCAGTCTAGATTATATGTAATACATACTCCGTAATACATCTCCGACTGACAATAAATTTACCTTTGTGTTACTCGCCGATTTTATTGAAACTCGGTACACTTGTAGAGCTGTCAAAAATAATGGACACGTATTTTTTTATATCGGCAATGGTGCAATTTTAAAAAATTTTAAAAGTGAAAACTACCCCTTGTATTTATTAAGTAAGAGTATATTAAGTAAGAGTAATTAATTCGTTGCATTTAAGCTAGCGGTAGAAATCTGATCTAGAAGAAAACCTGGCCCTGGATATTTTTTCCCGAGCGATATAGCTTGGATCTATTCGGGAAATCTAGCTTTTGAAACCATGTGTAATAGGGGACGGGGACGGGCATGGGGCGGATCTTTTATCTAAAATCTAAGGCCCAGGCCCAGGCTTATTTTCATTTTTTCCTAGAAATTATCCTGGAATCCCGTCTAGGACCCTTATTTTACACGGGTTTTCTCCTGGATTGTTCGATAATAATAATAATAACTCGTAATATTAATAAATAAATATTTCCTCCTTATATATTTTATTAGCGGTTTTTTTTATCTTTATTACTGTTAGATTGCGAATACTTGTTTTTTATCAAGTCACTTTCGTCACATGTGTCACTTTCAGTTTCGATGTTCACTATTTTTGTTTCTAATTTTTTCCTCGCCCGATATTTTCGCTTCCTCAACAGTGTGTGTAAAACTGGCGTATCATTTCGCGAAAACTCATAAATAATTAAGAGTTCTGGCTTTCAATAGTTCTAGAGTTCTTGATAGTTTAAACAAATAGTTCTGACCATTAAACCAACGAAAATGCCTCAGGACAAACTAAGACGCCAACTTCACGCAGCGTCGCACTTTCTTTATCATTTCTTTATCAATAATTGTTAGAATTTAAAAGATTTATGTCAGTTCTACAAGAGTTCTAAGAAGAGTTCTGCCTTTTAAAAGCAAAAAAATATCAATAAAGGTGAAATAAGAACAAGCGAATCCCTATATTTATAGATATAGAGATGAGACGCCGGTCAACTTTCGAGAGTTCTGCTTATTCTAAAACAATTTTCCTATAATGATCATATAAAGCTGCCCCACCTCACTGCCGTATCGTATCATGTGTATAAAATTTAATTCTTTCTTTTTCATCTTAGCTACTTTCATCTTAGAGTATTAAGACCTTGCTTAGGCTCCGAATACACTATTTAAGAAGTTTTTACAAAAACACAAAATGGCGATAGACTTTCGCCACTTCCTCATCGGTTATTCCTGGGTTCGGCAAAGAGCGAGATAAAATTCTTTTTATTTATCAAGTCGCCATATTGGATCCGCCATTTTAAATTCTATAATTTTTACATTAAATTTTCTTTCAACGACATGAAAACCCTTTATTATCTTCAAAACTCAAAAATAACTCTAATACCGTTAGCTTGCAACGAATTAATTAGTCGTATTATAAATACAAGGGGTAATTTTCACCCTTAAAGTTGCACCATTGCTGATATAAAAAATACGTGTCTATTATTTTTGAGCGCTCTACAAGTGTACCGAGTTTCAATAAAATCGACGAGTAGCACAAAAGTAGATTTATTTGTGAGAAACTTTCTTTTTCAAGGAGTAAATAAGAAGCAAAACGGCCAAGGCTAGGTGTTCGTGCTAAGCATATTATAAAAACAATCTTGATAACATTGACGTTTCGACCACAATTTGGTCTTCTTCAGAATTCACGAATTACAATACACTTAGCACGAACACCTAGCCTTGGCCGTTTTGCTTCTTATTTACTCCTTTAATTTTGAATTTATGTTGGCCTTTGATTATAATTTTTCTTTTTCAAGTTCTGTAAAAAATATGTAGTGCATAAATTGGGTGTATTATATCGCAGCATTCTTGTAGTCATGTATCTCCAAATCGATGAATGAATCTCCCCTTTGACCTGGTCTCTTGAAATTTTGTGTATGGTATTCCCAGATACCACACTGTTACCGATATCGGTATCCCTCTCTCACTCCTTGACACCGGAATTCCTCCGATGTTGCAGACGGGGCGGAGGTGGAGGCGAGGACGGGCGACGAGAGTACGGTGAACCGGAAGCGAACGCGACAGTGGCCGGATCGCTCGAGGAGGAGTTCGCGGCGGTGCCACGGCCGCGCATGCTTCAGCAACGAGGCTGTTTAACAGTAGCAACGACACCCGCACCCGCTACGACGACCAATCTAGCGTCATCATTATCATCCCCCAACATGTTTCCGCAGCAGTATTGCCTAAGATGGAAATACCATCACAGCAACTTGCAAACCATGTTCTCACAGCTGCTCGAGCGGCAATCCTACTGCGACGTCACACTCGCCTGCGAGGGCAAGACGTTACGAGCGCACAAGGTAAGCAGACATCGCTACAGGCGTTACTTACTTAGATTTCTTGTTGCCTGCAAACTCGATTAAAAAAACCGCGCTACGCATATAATCAATAACACTTTGAATATTATTACCTTTCAATGTTATTCTTTTTTCGAAAATAGGAATTGAGATCAGACTTTGTTGCGCTGCAGAAAAACGTCTATTTTTATTAACAATTTATATAAACTTCGATAACACAGTAGAATTGGCTCAAAATACAGTTTCTCATATCTGCAGTAGAAAGATCTGAACTCGAATCGAAATTATACACTTTTCTGATATATATTTTTTGCGCAAAAATAAATTAGTATAACTGCTTTAAGTAATTTCATCGTCTAAAATCAACTCACATCGTACTCTCAACAAGATGACTTGATTTGCTCGCTTCCTCGATTGCGGTATAAACAGAAATAGAAGGCAGAATTAGTAATCTATTATGGCGATATGTATCAATTGAAAACTCGTGGTACAGAACTGCGTTTTATACGAAAGTCGACGATATAAGAAGTTTTACCGCGAAATAGAGAAATTAGTCGCGAGCAATTCAGGATACGCGGAAACTCGATTTCCGGAATTTCGCTGTAACGTGAAATTGGATTTATGACTGAAACTCGATAAGTGGAATTTCACAATTCGATTTACGGGAAATATATAATAAAATTGCCATTTTCCTCGATATTTCATCTCGAATCCGGCTCGAAACGAGCTCAGTCCCTCGGCTACATCGCGAGAGTTATCTTGTCAATTTTCAATTAAAATAATCGAGTCGATATATAAGCTCCGCGGCAACCGCGAGACTTGCGTATACGCGACGAAACGAACTCCGTCTCGTCGTTAATCAGAACTTCGTCCCTGTGACTTCGTCACTCGTCAAAACTCGGTTATCGTGACGAAATGTCTAACTCAGTTTTCGGTAACACGCGGGCACGACTAAATTGCAACCGCACTGCCGGCGCTGTCTCGAAATTCCGTTTCTACTTGGAACTGCATTTCGAGCGCACCGCGGAACGATGTTTTCATCCACGGTATATACAGGGTGTCTTGCAAGTCACCCGTTATGTTCCCTGAGAGGGAAATGTCATTTCTCGAAATTACTGAAAATGTTTCCAAAATGCTATCCAGTCAGATATATCGTGATGTACTTCGCGTGTTGGACTTTATTTCAAAAGAACCGCTGCAATTTCGAAAAGTGGCATTTCTCCGACTCTGTATGTGCTCTCCCACACAAGCTTCTTTAACAAGCTGCGCCATTTCTCAAGTATCTTTGATGTATCATTCTAGCTTTCCAGTACAGTTTTTCTTTTCAATCTTTCTATTTTTTTTTTTTTTTCCCCCCGTATGTGCCTATTCTTTGACTGTCATACAGAGAGGTATTTTAAACATAATTGGAGTTCCAATTTTATACGTAATAGGCGAATTTCGGGAATATGAAGCGGATGAATTTATAATACAACCCTAACAATTCATTCATTCATTTCATCCCCGTTGGTTTATGACGGAGTAAAAAATGTGTTACCTACACTCAGCTATATTTTCTATTTATTTCTACCAAAACAGTTCACATTTTATTTGCTTAGTTTGATCTACGAAATAGACATAAGGTGAACTAATTGTCTGAATTGCGGTTGCGAAATCGCGATCATTTACATCAGTGTGAACAAGATCATGCAACATCTCGCTAATAATAAATTCGTTCAGCTGATGAGCTCATTGAAGTCAGATGATGCGCGATCACGCGTGTACATACCAAGTGCCAAAATCCGAGGAACGATGTAAGGGTAGCAGCAGCAGCAGCAGCGCTACCTCTACCGTCACCTTCGCCCTTCCCTCGATCCGATGGAGACGACCCGACTCCTGATAATTGGATTCTATTCCCAGCCAAAAAACCCGGACGATCCGTAGCAGACGACGAATGCAATCCCGTCCGGTTTCCACGGACCCGGACTCTTACTCTTTTTTCGCGTACACGTGTCTCTCATTCTCTTCGCTCCCCCCACCTTTCCACTTTCCCTGCCCGACTCCCCGCCTTTCCCTCTCCTTCTCTAGGCTCCTTCGCGTTTTTCTGCGTGCCCCCTGGTTCTTTTCCCATAGCGCGCCGCGCAGAATTTCCTCCATTCGTCTTATTGTACGTCGCCGCGAAGGAGAGAGAGAGAGAGAGAGAGAGAGAGAGAGAGAGAGAGAGAGAGAGAGAGAGAGAGAGAACAATACGTCGACGGTACGAAGGACAAGAATCGAGGAGCTAAGGGAAGGGTTAGGGGCACGAGGAAGAGGTGATGGGGGAAGAGGGAGAGAGGAGGCGGACGGGCGGACGGACGGACGGACGGACGGATGGACGGACGAACGGACGGACGAGCCTCGCCGCCTTGCCCCGTAGGAACATAAAACTTAACAAACGATCAATTTTCTGTTCTTTGTTTCTTACCGGGGTGGAACTACGGCATTTCGCCACTCTCTACCCTCCTTCCTCCGACCTCCTCTTCGCTCGCCGATCCCCCTTCCTCCTCTTTATTACCCCCTTCCTCTGCCATTTCCCACGCGCGTTTCCACCCTCTTTCTTCCCCACGCCGGTTCCCTCTTCCTTGTTCTCTCTCCCCTCCTGCTTCTCCTTCATCTCATCCTGCTCTGTTTCGCTCCCTCTTTTTCTCTCTTTCTCCGGCGGCCTGTGCGTCGAAACGAGCCGCGCAGAGGAGAGGCACTCTATCAAAGTAGAGTACGTTCGGCTTGGTTTATTTTTTACTTTGGGAGGGGTCCAAATTGTAAAATCAATACTTCCTCCTAAATTTAGAATGCCGCCACCGACGCCGACGCCGATGCCGACGGCCACCACCGGCCCAACGCGCACGGGGCTTTTTCATTTCTTTCCCCCCGCGCACGGCGCGACAATTCGCCTGACTCGCGGCGCTCGTGTGTGCCTCGTATCTCTTTTTCTTGTTGCCACGAGCAAAAGCCGGCCGGCTACCGCCGCACTTTCGAGCAATGCCGCCGGCAGTGAGCGATAAACTTGTAACTTGACAAGATGTCACAATATATATATTTACAATTTTAATTAATTTAAAAGAAATCCTGTTTTTATTTTTCGCAACTAAGTACGTTTTTTTAACGTCTAGGCTTATATTTTATTTTATTTTTTAACTAAAACAATAAATATTGAAGAATAACTTGGATAATAATAATATTCGAAGAGAATATTTAAGAATTAAAGTATCAGTGGTATAGCTACTTGAAAGATGATGGCGAGACGAAAACGAAAGGGACTCGTGACGACAGAAGTTCAGCGCGCCAAGCGTTTAAGGGAATGAGGAAGGGCAAGAGAGGCGAAGGGGAATGCTTTGTGGACAGCTGTTTCCTCGTCTAGCATCACCTGCACCCTACATCACATTCTACGAAAAGAGATACTATATACAGGAAATATCCGATAATACCACTTTTTCGAGGTCATTCCCCTTTATGTTACGAACTAGTTTGACTGATAACCTCGCTTAACTAACTTCGGGTAGCGATTACTTCATTCTTTTGACACAAACAGTCTCAGCGCTCTAGCGCTGATAAAGAAAAAAATATTGTCAAATCTAACGAGAAACTATCGTTTCGTCAATTCTCTAAGTGTATCTCCTAAATCGATCTTGTGATTTGCAACGTACATGTAATTTACATGTGTACTTGTAATTTACTAAGAAGAAAAAAATTTAATTACCAATATGTGCTCAGTTCCTAATCGTTAGTAAATGAAAAATAAATCCGCACATAGTTACACAACTCTCATGAGAAAAAAAAGATTCGCGTTATAGGAAAACGATAGATATGGTAGAACGATCATAAGCTGCCATCATAGACATTCGCCTTATTTCAAGAAGAAAGAAAAAAAATTTATCTTGAAACTTTCGTAATATCGAACGATCTGGAACTTTCGAAAGGAGAAGATTCGTCCGTCCGTCCATCGGCTTCTCTCGATACGTTGCAAAAACTCCCATGTATTTCTCGAAACAAGAGAAATATACTTCATACGGCGATGGTTATCGCGCTGCACTGTCTGTATTCCCGTCGGACCGAACTCTCGAGAAATTTCTATCCCGCACGATTGCCTAGCAAGGGAGAAAAAGAGAAAGAGAGATGGAAACTTTTGAGATTCTTTAAACGACGTTCTAAATGTGAAAAAGAGGAAAAGCGCGCGCACGACGGGAACAAGAAAATCCTATTCGCTCGCGCGATGAGTCTCTCGCGTGTCTTCTCTTGATTCACCCTCGCTGATACCGCGCACTGCAAGTATCTGCACTGATGTTCGCGAAGCACGACAAGAACGAGATACAGGAGCGAGAATAATTAATTTTGCCCTGCCCGGCCCGAGGATTTAGAATTCTTTTCTCAGGATGAAAAAAATAAATGAATCTCTTGCCAATGAGCCATTGCGATTGAGAAATTCGTTCCGCGTTCATTTATCAGAAATTTCATTGACAGTAATATTCGATAAGAATACTTCGCAACAGTGTTTTTTACATTTTATTATAATATGTTGTTTCGAATTAAATCGTGTCGGTTAAAGTTGAAAGGATTTAATACGATAAAAGATTTTCGTAACTGATGGTGCTTTAACAAATAAATAAATTTGATGCACTTTGTGAAAGAGGAAATTTATAAGCCATTATCAACGGACTAAATCTCTTGGAATTAAACTGTCACAATTGAGAAATTCGTTCAGTAACATTTTTTAAATATTTAATTAATAATAATATTCGATAAAGATATTTTGATAGCAATATTTGTTATGCGTTTAATTTTTTCGAATTAAATCAGAGATTGTCAAATGCTGTAAAATGTTGTCAAGCAGAATATCTTCTCAATTATAATTTATAATATTTCAATATTGTTTCAAGATTCCTGGAGTCGCACTTCGAAACACATTAAATCTTATTTGTAAAACTGTGTATATACATTATGTATATATGTATACTGTATGTGCATAATCTATAAAATACTCATGTTAT